GGCCATTCCGCGGAGAAAAAACACATACACACACTGAATTTGTTTATTCGCACATGAACACCATCTATCCGTTGAATATGTAATGAATCTGGTCCCCTGCCAAAACAATCACAACAGTCTCGGTATGAAACGAAGCAAAGAGAACCATCGGTTCAGCTCGTTTGTGGTGACTGACAGTTCGTGTGGGACATCGGTTTCTTCTTCTTTGGGACTGGCCACTCGGGGTGTGCAATGTCTCTGTTTCGTGGTCGGGACTGAAAACCCAGCAGACGGTCTGGACGCAATACACGGAAAAGTAAAATGACTTCACATTCCCGTGCTATCTCTCACCCAACACGATTCATTGGCTTATAACAACATACAACATCAACAACTGAGGTGTTGTGACTTGATAGACGACTGCACCCAGGCCGTGGGGGTGGAGTGATTTGGCGCAAAACGGCGTAATACAGGGAGGAAGATATGAACCCGTTCTGTGTACTAACCCATAATCGATTCCTTTTCGATGATGATTCGCTGAATACATATACACTGGTCATAACTAAAAATGCAAATCGAATGCAAACACACCCACACTAATCAAAACACAGAGGACCTTTAATGTGTTAGCTGTGCGTGTGGGTATGTGTAAGTTTGTGAAGCATTTCACCGAGAACATCATTGCGTTTTTTCGTGTGTACACTGGATAAACAGCACATGTCGACGCAAGTCAGTTGACTCAGTGAGAAACGCACGAACTTCGGCGATTATAATTACAGGCGGATCAGTTTACCGCTAGTCCATGCATCTCAGATTGATTGCCAAACTGATGCATGAGATCGTCGTTCAAGTGAGCGGGTGGGAAGGGAGGGGGGCAGAAGCTGGTCGAGAACGCGGCTGAAAACATTTGGCCACCGACCACCTTCGTTGCATTCATGCGCTTGTGTGCAAACAGCCATTTTGTGAAAAACCCCTCCTCTACACCCGCGCCCGCCCTCAATCACATCGAGAACTGTTAGTATCACTATGCTTGTTTCAACCGACCGGTGTTCGATAAGGAGCCTGCACACAGGCACACGCAACAAAGACAATGACTGCGCAGTACAGATAGACCGGTCGCTCGATCGATCGATCGATCGATCGATCGGTCGATCTGCATGGGGTCACTCGACGATTGTCTTATGGTCGTGCGCATGAGAAGTGGCTGCCCGTCGACAAAGAAATGCTGGTTTGCTTTAGCAAATCCGATAGGAAGACCATTACTCGGGGCTAAGTGAGATGTTATATTGGGTTCTTCGAAAACTGAATCCACGAAATAGGACACGATTGTATAGTGTTTGTTTGCCGGATAAAGGGTATGTCATTTAAAACGGAAATCGTTTGAACAGGTATGGAACTTACCTTGAAACCTCGAAATAGAAGATACAGTTCACGAGGTTTGGCGTCCAAGGGTAATCCACTTACAAATATAGTGCGCACTTGGTGCTGAAAATGAAGAGATGGATTAAAAGGTCTGATGCGAACGGTAAAATGTGCGTATTATTGAAATAAGCATCTTAAGAAAATTACGGCAGTAAAGTATACATAGGCTGATTGTATGCATTTATCTATTTACCTACCGATCTATCTATCGGAATTACAATGCCCATATTATGCAAATGAGGTGCTTTTAAATAAATTCCCGCTACATTGTTTTAATGAGCCGATGTGATATTACAACTAATGCACCAGCAACCGTCCCCGTAACCTGCATTTTAATGACATTCGAGTGGTGGAAGGAGAAACAAAAGTTGGCATTAATACAGATATTTTACGCCAGATGTGAGGTGATATCATATGCAATCCCGTGAATGAGGCTCGGAATACTAAGCGGCGAACATAAAAAGGGTGGCGAAATTCATTATATTACATACATATATATGCTCAGTTTTAGTAATACTCCACAAATAGCATATACATCAGAGAATCAATCATATTACCTGGTGAAATGCTCTAACAGTGTATGGGCGTTAGATAATATGCTTGTGATATTATACCCAATCCTGCAAAAAAAGATTCGAAATCCTTGATACCATGTGATGACAGCCATCGGATTTTCCGGATATGGTATACTGGCCTTTGTTTGTGTTATGGTAATAACGAATATAATAATATCAAATTTCTACAATGATCAGTGTGACAGTAATTTTGAGTGACGAATCCGGAAAGCAAATCCAACAAGCTTTCCTAAACTGATCTGGAATCATTGCTCGGTTCATATATCGTTAAGAATGTATTTCCTGCTTGCACAAGATGTGCATACATATAAAGCTGCAATCTGCACTTTAAGAAAACTTAAGCTCGTAGATACATCTGTTTCCTTGAATGAAGTTTACATTAGGCTCCACAGTTTAGTTCCTAACACCAAGTTACAGGAGTTTACCACGACGGACGTCTTATTGTTTACAGAAACAAACAAAAGTTCAAAATTGTGTCCAGGTTATTTTCTATATTTAGGAATTTGTGTGAAACAACCACTACGACTTGAACCTGGCATGAGTGGTACTCATCTACATCTTTGTACAACATATAATTTACCAGAGGAGCACCCAAACAACACATTTTACATTTCAGTTCAGTTCTATTTGTACAACCATTAACCATGCACTTTCGTGCGCCGGTTTTGGTTGATGTCTTTTGGCTGCCCATTTCGATGAGAAAGACAGTTAAGATTGGAAGTAGAATCAAAGAGAAAATTCAGGATTTCAGTGGATTAATGTTGCAAAGAAACTGACAAGATACACAAACACCACTGCTTACGACACCCAGCCATATCACTCAGTGTCTCTAACCATCTGGAACGATCATCCCGAGGTCCCTAGCCAGGGAGCCTAACGGGACCTATGTGCCCCAGACTCCTAGTTGGGGTTTTCATACCCCCACGGCAGATCTTAGGTTGGCCACCCTTGACTTTCTTCCATACATTACCTGCCTCGGCGAACATCGCTCGCCGTGGCAACCTGTCGGGTGACATGCGTAACACTTGCCCCAACCGAAGTAATCTATGGAGGTCGTCCATTTGCTCGAATAGGCGACCGTATTTACCTAAAACCCTGCGCCTAAGCTCAACATTGCTCACCCGGTTACCCCACCAGATTCGAGCAATGCTGCGTAGACAGTGGTATTCAAATACCGATAGTCTACCTTTATTCTGTTTTTTAATGACCAACTTTCTGCGCTATGTAGCAGAACTGGCCGAACTGCAGCCGAATACACCCGACCCTCGACAGACAGCCGGATGCCACGACGGCGCCACAGATGTCTCAAGTAGGCAAATGCCAATTGAGCCTTCTATATGCTAGTTGACACTTCATCCGTGATGCGTCCACTGGGTGAGATGTGGCTATCCAGATAGCAAACCTTGTCTACTTTCTCTGTAACTTCCCCGGTCAAGATGAGGTGGGGGACTGGGCTAATCCAGTCTTGGAGGAGCAATTTACACTTTGGCGATGCAAAACGTAGACCGAACAAGGCTACACTAACACTTAAACTATCCAGTAAAGCTTACCTGGATCTTCACTTAGTAGCACAATATCGTCTGCATACTCTAGACCAGACAGTCTGCTAACTGGGAGTAAATCGATGCCACTGTTCTGGCACGAGGATAGGGCTGTTTCCATAATCAAATAGAAAAGGAGAGAGGGGGCAACCCTGACGAACACCAATTTTTGTGGTGAACTAGGTCGAAAAAGTACCGTAAGCCCGGACTCAACTTCGGCTATTAGTAGGAAGGGATTGTAATAGTCGCACAAGCACACTTTAAATGAGCGTATGAACACACCAGTCTACCGATGAACTGACTGCAGCGGCAGGTTTTCATCGAAATCAGGTGGGATCAACCGGACGGATGCTATGATCAGGCAAGTAGTTCAGTTTTTCGTAATTTTGATTGACTTTCGTTTCTTGAATACGGTGCATGAATACAAAATCTTGTTGATAAAACAAGAAACATCATGGGATAAAGAACTCCGATTTTTTACAATTGCGTACCACCTTAGAAACATGCGTAAGTAATTTTTATCCAGCTTTTGCAGCCAGCGTCCATTGAGTTATGCTCAGCCATGGGAATTTGTATATTTAATGGTTTTACCAATAAGTGACAAAATAAAAGATTTCCTATTAATGTGAAAGAACTATTCATTGCATCGTCCTCCCTATGTGCGAGAAAATAAAGTGATATATGAAATGTCCTAAACGAATGGTAAACAGTTCTTGTGATTTTTCAGTCGAGTTGGTAATTTTCACAATGACTACTTTTTTCCTTATTACTTCATTGTGAAAAATGACAAACGGGTCACAGTATACAAATCATTTATTTTAAAACCCACCTCAATTAGGACCTCCCCTATGTCCTTTTCGAGTACGTCTTGACCGATCCCAATACCAAAAATAACCCCATGAAAGCAAGTCCACTGTACTTGGTTAATTTGCGCATTGATTTTCCGATCTAACGTTTTGAATAAGCTGACAGTAAAGCAAAAGGATCCAAATCAAAACGACATTCGGTGATAATACTTTAAATTAAACCAGTCACAACCGGGGGTGGACTGAGGGAAAAATTGAGAATCTTCATCTTACAGTGACAAAAAGATGGTTGGATGTTTTACCATGTTTGTCGCTAATCTGTTTTGTCAGCTATAATGAACGCTATGGGGACGGGGAGAGGGGGTAATCGCACGACCAACTTGAGGGTTCATTTACAGTTGACATGTGCTGGACAAAAGCTAATCAATCGCGTACAAAAATGTGATGAGTTCAATTCTAGAAATGGTGGTTGATAAACAGAAACATGGAATAAATAATGTGTACTGTTTAAGAACCTTAAGGTACTTCACACAGAAGAATAGACGGGGTTTAACGAAAAAGAGCTCGACAAAGTTTTTCACACAGATTTACAGTCCACCCTCAAACTGTTGAGCAGCTTGCACATTCACAAACCCATCAAATCCTAGTGTAGGTCTTTTAGTGATCTACTGACCAAAGGACACCTATTTGCAAGTGAACTAGAGTGATTTACCGGAAAGAAATACCCCACAATTCTACTCCGGCATTATGCGCTGAAAGGAGTATTTCAGGATTATCCGCGTTCAGATATGCAGTAAACTGCAACACAAGCATCTAGCCACGAATAGATCGGCAAAAAGCTCCGTCTTAAACATCCTACCTACATATGCATACGCTCGGTTGGTAGCATTGCGATAAACCTGGACGTTAGTTTGAACAAATAAGCTACTTCGAGATTCATATTGTTTTTCATTCCAGTCGTACAATGCAACCTGCCCTTTCTACCGGGACCTATCCATGATCTGAAAAGCGCTTTTTTCTGTCTTAGGAATGCTACGCATGTTGTGATGTGATGATACACTGGAAACTTGCCTGTGTGCTCTTATATGTTCCCATTATGCGTCTGATTCCTTATCTAGTTGCATCGTCAACGAATATGACAACTGGGATGGATGATTGTCAATTCGCGAACGGAGGTGATATGCGGTCAGTGTCTGATGAACCTTGACCCTAGAACTTATTTTACACGGAGTGCCTTGCTGTGACGTTGTAAAACTCGCCAGATAGTGTTTGCGAATCATACCGACCTGATTACATCCCACATGTATTTATCACTACGACCAGGTTATTTCACAAAATGCCCTCAAAATTCCCAGTTCTATTGTGGTATCATACTTCCAACGTATGGATATAGTTGTAGGGATGGTAGTACGGAGAAAGGACATGCATATGGACATACAATGAATGACAAATGGGTAGATATTTTTAATGCATCTAAAAACGATGGTCTTTGCACAAAAACTGTTCTTAGATAGAAAACCCAATACGACGAGACTTGTGAGTTGGTACTTTTTCCCAATATCGTTCATTAATTGGAAAAGAGCTCATTTATAAAAATCATCTTTAAAATTGAATAAATCTCACAAACTAATCGGTTGAATTGTTCTTTTGTTGCGTTGTAGTCGCCAGTTGAAAAATCAAGAATGCTTTCATTGAGCCAAACATAGAGAATAGCCAACCGTGAATGGTATTTGCGTGAGTACAGTTTGAGCGTGGCAGCAAATTAACTAACTCTTGCAATTCAGTAAGACTTTCAGACTGCATGATGTATAGGAACCATTTTCAAAGTTTCACGTCATAGACGACACTATAATTAGATCGAGGAAGATGTGTGTAACTAGTAGAACAATGGTGAGTTCATGGTAAACTGATGGGTAAAATACAGGCCAGAGCTTGAGTGAGTGGGAAGAACGTGAGCGTTTTAGATCAATGATTTGATTGGAATTAATGAAGGATTTGATTCAATTCCAAAGTAGACAGGTAGTGAAAGTTTCCAACCGAGCTATAACCCAGAGACTACGGCTGAGATGAGCGAGGCACAAGGGCTGCACCTAGTCGCAGGATTGACTTTCTATTTCGCGACAAATTCATATTATATCCTTCAAGTTTCTAATTTTTCACCTAAACTTGTATCCTTCGAAACA